GGCACACACCTGACTCCGTGACGGAGTGAGAGAGACGGCGAACCTGCGGCGGGGGCGGAAGGCATCCCACCACCCGACCACAAAAAAGACCGTCAAAGCCAAAACGACACTGACGCAAACCAAGCACAGTTCGTTTTTTTTTTTTTTTCCTCTTTTCCGTTTTTGAAAAACGGCAAGAAAAACCGCTAAAAGAAAAACCCCCAAACAGACGCCCTCACACCCCACATGCGCCCTCAGTCACACTCCCAGAATGCACCAGAGAGAGAGAGAGAGAGAGAGAGAGAGAGAGAGAGAGAGAAAAGGAAGCCAGAACATCCATCCATCTTCCTACCACTTATACAATTCAGGGTCGTGGAGAGTCTGGAGCTTATCTAAGGAAGCATAAGGGCATAAGNTCACGAGCCCCCTGAACATCCTCAACACTATGCTGCACACTCTCACTACTTTGTGCCGCCACCACTAACTCATCACTCTGACCATCCCCAACCCCCTCCTGCACACTACCAACTTCAACCTGTAACACCCCCAGACCAGGCTCAGGTGTGTCCTCAACTGCAGGAGGCAGAGGTACAGAGCTAGGCCCTGGCCTCTCACCACTCCCAACCCTATGTGGGCAGGCGAGTCGTTTATGCCCGATATCCCCACATTCAAAACACTTCATATTCCCCGTATTCGCATAAAGCATATAAGCCCTCCCCTCAACCATTACCCTAAACGAAACATCCAAATTTGGCTCGGTTAAAAACATAAGCACCTGTCTCCTAAAGGACACTACATGCCTTAGAGCAGGATTCTTACAATTTAAGAAGACAGACTTCATAGCGCCTGCGAACTTTCCAAAACGGGAAAGTTCACGCTCGATATCTGCGTTCGGAATAAACGGCGGAACATTCGATATCGTAACTCTCGTCGCCGGTGCAACCAATGGAGAAACCAGGAGGAGTCGGCCACTTACCCTGATTCCCTGCTCGATCAGGCGCTGAACAAAAATTTCCTCAGTAACAAAAATAACCACTGCCTTGTTCATGCGAGAAGCGGAAAAAACATGCTCAAACCCAATCAATTCACCAACTCCGGTCAACACGTCCTCCACAACTATCCCGGGATCAGGCACACACCTGACTCCGTGACGGAGTGAGAGAGACGGCGAACCTGCGGCGGGGGCGGAAGGCATCCCACCACCCGACCACAAAAAAGACCGTCAAAGCCAAAACGACACTGACGCAAACCAAGCACAGTTCGTTTTTTTTTTTTCCTCTTTTCCGTGTTTGAAAAACGGCAAGAAAAAACGCTAAAAGAAAAACCCCCAAACAGACGCCCTCACACCCCACATGCGCCCTCAGTCACACTCCCAGAATGCACCAGAGAGAGAGAGAGAGAGAGAGAGAGAGAGAGAAAGAGAGAGAGAGAGAGAAATAGTCAAGTATATATTACTGTCAGGGTTGGCGTCCATCCGACCCTGCCCTTTGTGTCTCCTCCCCGCTTGGCCAGCAGGTGCTGCTGGCCATCCTGTCCTCCCTGTCCTTTGACTTTCAGCCTCAGTGTGTCTATCCCTAGTATGTTTTGCCTGTTCCCTGAACTGCTGCCCAGCTCAGTGGGCTGAGCTTGTAATACAGTGGCTATTAAACCTTGTAGTTGTGTGTTCGTAGGCAACCACACCTGTTTTGTTTATTGGTTTTTTTGTTTTTCCTGGTGTTTTGTCCTTTGCTTTCCAGTTTTGGTTTATCTTTAGTTTGATATTGTGTAGCCTTGTGTTTAATTTGTCTTGTTTATGATTCTCTGCCCCTGCCTTGGTTGTTCCATTTCACTTGTTTCTTGATTTTTCTCCTAGTGTAGTATTTCCCTGTGTTTCCTTAATTTCAGTTCCTTAGTTCTGTGTTCATTAGGGTAATTAAGTTTTTTCCCCCGTGTCATGTCGCCCTTTGCCCTTATTCATTGTTTGTTTTTGATGATTCTCACCTCTTTGTTTTCATTGTATTTATGGGCTTGCCTTTGTTTATTTCTTCAGTTGGTCACTGTGTGTGATGTTATGTACTCTGTGTGTGATGTTATGTACTCTGTGTGTGATGTTATGTACTCTGTGTGTGATGTTATGTACTCTGTGTGTGATGTTACTCTATGTTTAAGACTCTGCCTGTTGTGCAATCCTTCTACTTGTGTTACCCTGGTCCCTTGTTTGGTTGCGTTATAGTTTTTATAGTTAGTTCTTGTTTTCCCAGTTGGCTTTTTGACCCCTCATTAATTGGTGCCCTTCCCAGTGTGTAATGTTTTGTTAATAATCCCCTTTTGTCTTGGAGCCGCTAGTGGATCGTCACCATTTTCCTGACTGCACAATGCCCGCCGTCGTAACATATTACATTCAGAGGACAAGTCCTCACAATGTGATAAAAAGCAGTTATTTTGACATTGTGGAGGCATTTTTTCTGGTCCCCATAAGGGGAAACTCAGGTTTATAAAAAAAATGTGAATGCAGTCAAAAAACTAAAAATTATTTAATCTTGTGTTTGTTTGGTTACTTAAGGCTACGAATTGGGCTAGGTAAGCATTATAGCTAGGATTAGGGTTGTGCTCATGAGAATGGATGGAGAGTTATCCCCAAAGATATACACTACTGGGCAAAAAATATGCCAAACCCAAAATGCACAAGTAAGCTTTGGCCTGTTTTTTTGCACAGGAGTATAGCTGCCTAATCTGTGTGTATGTTTGTGTTTGTGTGTGTGTGTGTGTGTGTGTGTGCATGCATGTGTCTGAGAATGTCTGAAAAGGAGAGTAATTAACCACATTTAACCATTCAAAATGTTGACCCATCAGTTCACCCATCAGGCAATATAAACGCACTTGGTTGGCAATATTCCTTATTTTTTGGGGAATTAATAGTTGTATTCTTAGTGAAAGAGCTAAGAGTTAAAATGCCTTGATTTACAAATATTTTTGATTGCAGTTACTGTCTTGATTTTATTGTAAATAAGAGTATTCATTTTTTGGTGATTTGTGGCATCCATCCCAAATATAGTGTGATTTCCTTGTACTGAAAAATAATACGTTAAAGAGCGATTTAGTATTACATCAACAGTGCTCCTGTTGCTCAACAGATCTGATTCTTGTGCTAACAAGCAAAAAGCTTGTGGGCTCAAATCCCACAAAGCACAAGTACATTGTAGCACTTACCTGTACCGTAAGCCTTTTTGTAGAATGGTGTCAGATAGTAAATGAGATACATGTATATTGTGCACATGAGGAAAAAAAACCTCCCATGGCTTCTCCAAACCTCAGTATATACCAGTTGTATTAACCCCCCCCCCACACACACACAGGCACACAAAACAATATTCCACATATGCATCCTCATATTTCATGCTTTAGGTGTTGCTTAAATTTTCTTTCAATATTACTAGCAGCTACAAATATCTCCATGGTTCCTCCACCTACATGTACAGTAAGCATTAATTGAGGAACTTTCCCACCATAAGCATTTGTTACTAGGTCTGTTGACCTGTTGGAGTCATTGTTACTAGTCCTAGTAACAAGTAGCTCATATATGCAATATGTGGTTCCTGTCTGTTTTACATGTTTTAATTATTTTACATTGTCGGTGTCATATAACATATGCTGGCATATAAGGTGTTCACATTATTTTAGATATTTCTGAGGGTTGTAGTTTCGTAAAACGTATCTGCCCCCAGCTCCATTGCTCCAAACAGTTCTGTTTTTTCCCTGACCTGTGCCCCCCCCCCCTACAATTTCTTTGCACCCCACAGTTACAATGCCTCTGTTTTATAGTCTACCATTAATGTATCTGTTACAGTTCTTACTTCTATGTCACAGAACATTTTAGTGAAAAAATTAATAGAATATAAATATTTAAACATATAACAAATATGAAAAATGTAAATGATGTTTTCAAACATGAACAATAAAACACACAAAGGAATACAATTAACCACATAAATTGTGGTAAAAGATTCTGCACAGTGTTATATCAATGGAATGTGCAATTAATTAATAAATATACTTTCCAACCTACATATCACAACAAGGACTCTGATAAAAAAAATAAATCCCTTTATTAATTCTCACATTTCCATCCAGTACTTCTAGAAATTGTAGAAGTTGCTGAGTGGGACGAGTATGGATCAGATATCAGATATCTTAACCAAATGACAAGGCTGTCCAGGGAATATAATGCTGTCATTTTTAACACCAAATCAATAATGAATTACACAGAACAAGAATTTGAACATTTAATCGATAACTATAACAACCTTAATGTGCATATAAAATTAACAGCAGCAGCATATTCAGATTCTCTTACTTGTTGACACGGGCTGTCGCAGCAGACTCTAAGCAGTGACAACAAATCACTTGATTTAGCTCATTATTGTCTTTATGGAATTCAAAGTCTGGTGTCTGATCTCTCCTGGTGATCAGTTCTTGTTAGCTTACTCACCTCACTCATTTTTGCTAAATTCCTCACAAATGTGCCACTCTATGTGTATCCAAGGACAAAAATGGTTATGATTGGCTCAGAAAGTACATGCAAAAACAGTGGAGTTAACCTCAAAAAGAGTAAACCACAAACTTAGAGATGGGATAGATCCCAATTAATTGCATTATTTGTTTATTTGTTGCATACTTTGGATTTTATACATTGATTATTCGACTATGGTGACTCATCCATAATTTAATTTAAGTGCTGCTTAGGAATCTTAACACATTATTACTTTAAAAATGATGGAAAAACTATTTCCATTTTTAAAATTCAGTGTAGCCTATAATATCTTTCTCTTATCAGTAAGAGTGTGCCAAGTGTATAAAATACCTTTAAAATATTTTTTGTTAAATGTCATAAAATAAAAAAAATCTCCACCACAGAATTAACAGGGTGTCACCTAACATTGGGCCACTTTGATGCAAGAGTAAGAAATGTTCCCTTTTCCTTGTTAAAATGCCTTCTGATCCAGTTAAATCTTCTGTTGATTTATTTGTGTTTTAATCCTTAGTTGAATTATGCAGAGTCAAGGCTGACCCAGCTGGAGAAATGCCACTGTGAGAAGTCCTGCCAGCTGAGTGGTTTGCGGCATCGAGACACAGAACTCTGGGCAGAGCCAGACAACTGCAGGAATTGTGCTTGCAAGGTAGGCTTTAATAAACCAGTCACAATCGAAACCATCTTTGTTTAGTTTATTCATTAATTGGATGGGCTGCCAAGCCGCATTGCCATCTTGTTCTGTGCTGTAATGCAGTATAATTGTCATACGTTTGACAAGCATTACTCCATAGATACTGCATGTTCTTTCATGTTTACCCTATACAGAAAAGAATCAAATTTTAGCAATGCAAAGTTAGCCATTTATGCTATACTTCTCAATATGAAATGGAGAAAGAAATGCTTTACTTGCCATTTGCACAAGTACATTGGAATTATCCTCTTCACATATTTACCTTGCTCTCCTTTGAGAGGTAAACACACATGCAGCTTATACTGTTGAGAGTGAAGCTTGGGGTCTGAGTGGTGGGTTTGGGCCAGTTTCCTGGCACCTGTGGAGCATTTCAGGGATGAACTTGTTCGGCAGTAAGAATGTCACTATTCTACCGAGGCTTGAACCGGCGACCTTCCAATCACAGGTGTAACTCGCTGAGCCACACACCAGCTAATGTCGCATGCATTTCTGCTTGGATACATACATGGGCAGCTATGGGTTATTGTATTTGTTTGTAGGCAAAGCTTAAAATGTCCCTATAGTCACTGCTGCAGTATACCTTACTCAAACTAGGTGCAAATTTTAAGTCACTCTACCTGGAGGACATTCCGTCACTGAACTATAGAATTAAATCTTAAAAGGGATACTGAAAACTGTTATTGAAATTAGACTAATTTCTCAAATTCCTAATGAAATGCTTATCCCCATGTAGATTTTTGCATTGCTTGTTATACGGTGTACTTCAAGGGATATGGACTAACGGTCTGCATTGGCCTTTCTGGCAGAACGGGGTGGTGGAGTGCCGACGGATATCCTGTCCGCCTCCTAACTGCTCTGCAGACTCTCTCCCAGTACACATCAAGGGCCACTGTTGCAAGAAGTGCAGCCGTAAGTGAAAACAATATCCTACCACAAGGAGACATGTGACAGCGAAACACGAATTTTTTCAAATGTTGCTGATTGTTTTTTCCAAAGATTGCTGTAAGAGCATGGTAGCATGACTCGATACAGGCATGTTGCTCTGTTGAAGCCTTTGATGAGAGTTGATGCATCCCAAAGGAAATGGACAACAGATGTGCGTGTGTATCTCTGTGCACAGGACAGTTATTTTGTTACATTGTAGGTTTTAGCCTCAGACGTTTCCCAGTCTTTGTGCAAAAGAATACTTATATACTTTGCGGTTTTACAAATATTTCTATTTTTTTCCTAAAGGACATGTTTGTGCATAGAGTTAATGGGTATGCACTTTTCAGAAACCACAGTAGCATTTCCAGAAATTGGAGACATATGGACAGGATAAAATCAGCATTATTATATGGTTATGATGTGAAGTACATGTGTCAATTTGTATTCTCATTGTTTGTACAGCAAAATGTAGCTTCATGGGTAAAGTGCTATCAGAAGGACAGCGTGTTTTGACAAAGGTCTGCAGAGAATGCAAGGTAATGCTTCTGTTCTTTTTCAGTTTAACCACTGTGCATAATTCTGTTGTGGCATTTAATTCTAGTATGGCTCCAGTGTCCATTTGCCTGTTTTATATGAAATTAGCAAATTAAGTGGTTGGTTATACTTTTCTCATAGTGACCTGCGTATACCAGAGGAATGCAATACAAATAATTGTAGATTTTAATAACCTTGTTTTTTGAATGCATAAGCTTATTCAGATTTGCAAATGTAGATTTATATATGTTTTGCAATTGTTTTCTTGTTGTATTCTCTGGACTTCAGGGAATACATATGGTTTTATCTCCAGTCCATTGTGCCATAGACACTTTGCTTGTTAAGATAACTCAAAAACTGTTTAACATATCTTTGTCAAACTTTGCATAGGCAAAAGTTGTGAGGAACTTGAACTGATTTAATTTTGAGGCATTTCTCCCCAAAATTGAAGCAGTGCTTCACAGTGATAGCAAAAAAAAAAGCAATTTGACATTTGATCAAGTTAAAACGATAACTAAAAAAGTATTTGACAGATCTTTTTCAAATTTTGCAGAGGCATTGTAAGGGTACCAGACTGGAACTGGTTAAATTTTGAGCTTGATTGCTCCATAACTGAATTGTTGTAAGGCTGAAGATCGGGCCCTGATCAAAGTTTTTATGGAATTTTGAGCACTAGCCTACCTGTTCGGCATATTTCATCCGTAGCAGCCAAGTAGCTGATTGGTGAAATGTTTCAATAAAAATTATTGTGGGACAATTAAATTGTATCATACTATTATTTATTTAGCCATTTATATATTTTTGAGAGGTAGGGAGAGTGTGTAAGGTAGGCTTGTAACAATAGTTTTCTTAGACTGTGGGATTTTCATTCAGCGACATTTATCACACAAAGTGCTCCAGGGTTACCAGAGACTGACTTTACCATGCACTTGGACCCTAAGCCTCACTTTCAACTGTGTATATGAAAAGGAGAGCAATTTAACTATGTTTAACCATCCAAAACATGAGTTCCGCCATCAGGCAAGTTGCAGTAACTTGTTTCCCAGTATTCCTTGTTGTTTTGTGTGCAAGCAAATAACCAAAAATCAAAAATACTTTCATTTGTAAATACTGTTCTTGTTGATTGCAGCTAATCCCATGCATAGACTGTAAATAAGAACATTCATTTTATGTTAGTTTCTTTTACTGTGCAAAAAGAACATGTCGATGTAATCATGCAATTAAGTTTCTTGGTAAATGTGAGGATTACAGTTTGCACCCATCTCTTTTACTGTGCGATCGCCACATATTGAAAAATAAAATGCTGTGTCCCATTGTGAAGCAAAGTAGGACATGGTTTGTCTCATGTTTTCTGACCATGTAAACACATTAAACTAAAGCACAATTTAGTATTGCATCAACAGCTCTCCTGTACTGTAGCTCAACAGGAGCAGAAATATGAATGTACATCATGTGCACAAAAAATACCGTCTGTGGCCCCTCCAGACCTCTTATATTCCATTAGTGTATGTTTTATAGTTCCTACTGATATGTTACAGAAAATTGTGGTCATAGTGCAAAATAAATAAAACTGAAGTATTTAAACATATTAAAAACATAAATGACATTGATGACTTTTTTCCAAACATGGACATTAAAACACAAAAGAATGCAAGTAACCATCTTGTTTGTGGGGAAGGATTCTGCACATTGTCATATAGGTGTACTTTGCAATTAAAGTACACATTCAGACCTACATATCCCAACAAGGACTCAGAGCATTCATGTCAAAACACATTTATCAACATTCACATTTCCACATGTTCCATCCAGCACTTCTAGAAATTTTACAGGTTGTTGAGTATAAGACAGGTACAGTTTAGATGGGCAGAGCAACTGACGGAGCTGTCTGGGGAATAAAATGCTGTCATTTCAAACAGCACCAGTTCTAGTTTTAATTAGCTGAATATCGGGTTAAATCTTACATTTGTTTATAATTTCTCCCTAAACCACTACCCACAATATTCCTGATCTTGTTCTCACAATTAATGTGTAAGTTTTGTGTAAGTTAGTCAGTCTTGGGGAAAGTCAAATTTGAGTTGAATGATCAGTGAAATGTTTTTTTGCATTTTAGTGTGTTTTGAAATATAAATTTGGCACTTAGCTTTGCCCTTTCCTGTTCCTGCTCCTCAATATTATTTTAAAGGTAATTTAAGCCTTACAAAATAGTATAAGAAAGGGCAGTATTTTCCGTGTTATTGATCCATAGTAATCCTGAAAACGAGTGCAGCACAAACCTCATAATGATCAAAGGGAAACTGTGAGTTACACCTGTTTTATAAAAGGCAAATGTCAGGGATGAGGGTTTATTGGTATATAAATTTCATGAAACCTTCCATACAACATGGGACTGGGTTTGAGTCACCATGGCAACTGATCAGCAGCACCCCCCCCCCCCATGCTTACAGTTAATGAAACTGAGTTGACTTTGGCGTGACTGATTACTTCGTTAGTGGTAAATAGGGTCAGTTCTTTTTACGATGGCAGTACCCTGCATATGTGACAGACCACTGCTACACACACTCACTGGCCACTCTATTAGGTACACCTTGCTAGCACTGGGTTGGACCCCCTTATACCTTCAGAACTGCTTTCTTTCTTCATGGCATAGATACAAAAAAAATTTGGAATATTACTAAGGAACATTTTGACATGATAGCATTACACAGTTGCTGCAGGATTGTCGACTGCACCTTTATTATCCAAATCTCCCATTCCACCACATCCCATAGGTGCTTTATTGGATCGGTGACCGTGGAAGTCATTTGAGTACAGTGAACTCATTATCATGTTCAAAAAAACATTCTGAGATTATATGAGCTTTGTGACATGGTTCATTATCGTGCTGGAAGTAACCATTAGAAGCTGGGTACACTGTGGTCGTAAAGGGGTGGATATGGTCAGCATCAATACTCAGGTAGGCTGTAGCATTTAAACAATACTCAGGTGGCATTTAAAAAATGCTCATTTGGTGTTAAGGGGCCCATAGTGTGCCAAGAAAATATCTCCCACACGTTATTCAACCACCAGCCTGAATTGTTGATACAAGACAGGATGGATCCATGCTTTCCTGTTCTTTATGCCAAATTCTGACACTATCATCTGAATATCCTCCTGAGACCCCACCCATTCATTTATGTCCATTGCAGTGGACATTTTATTTTTGCATATATCTTTTCACTGATGTAAGGAAACATACTTATTCCTGTTGTACACTAAAGAGGACATGCTGTGAAATAAAAAATAAAAATAAATTTGAAAAAAGATGTCTTATTTCCTCCAAAGACATAGAAAATCACAATTAACCTAAAACTGAAGGACATTTTTTTCTGTGGGTCTCAGGAGGATATGGCAGCAGAAAGCAAGATTCATCTGACCAGGCAACATCTTTCAAGTCTTCTAATGTCCACTTTTGGTGACCCTGTGGGCACTGTGGCCTCAGTTTCCTGTTCTTAGCTGACAGGAGTGGCACCTGGTGTGGTCCTCTGCTGCTGTAGCCCATCTGCTTCAAGGTTCCAAGTGTTGCGTATTCAGAGATGCTCTTATGCATCCCTTGGTTGTAACGAATGGTTATTTGAATAAAAATCACTTTTCTTCCCAATTCTGGTGTTTGATGTGGAAATTAACTGAAGCTGCTGGCCTGTACCTACATGATTTTATGTACTGTATTGTCCTGCCATTTTACATTTTCCTGACATATGATTGGCTGATTAGATATTTGCTTCAACAAGCAGTTGATCAGGTGTACCTACTGTAATAAAGTGCCCAGTGAGTGTATGTTCTGCTTTCATAAGGCTGTTATTTCATTTTTCCCCCACCATTGCCTTATTTTTAGTTCACCAATAATGATTTGTCAGGTTAGTTAAGTAACCACTTTAAAATGTCAGGTGCTACAGATGAAGTGTCTCTTGAATCCCATTGTTTCTCTCCCTTTGGAACAGATTTTTACTGACAATTGATTCCTTTAGTATATTCTCAGGATCTGTTAAAACTTTAATACCTTTGCAGAGCGCTGTTTGATGTGATCCCACGGTGACATTATTTGCCATGTTTTCCGTTCCCCCTAATATGCAGCATCACTTATTGCATTTGTGCCTTCTCATTCTACATTTATTGAATATGGTTTATATGCAGTGATATACTCAGTGAAATGTCCCGAAGAGGGCTGCTTTGGATGCGAAGGGCACACAATAGAGCCATTTTTGAAACTGCCCCCTACTAAAGGTCATGCTGTGATGTGCTTAGTGTACAGTGTATACCTGCACCTCTTGTGTAGAGTCAATGTGCTTAGTGTACAGTGTATACCTGCACCTCTTGTGTAGAGTCAATGTGCTTAGTGTACAGTGTATACCTGCACCTCTTGTGTAGAGTCAGTGTGCTTAGTGTACAGTGTATACCTGCACCTCTTGTGTAGAGTCAATGTGCTTAGTGT